AAAATAATATTATCATAAAATTAACTGGAAGACCGATATTCCAACGGCTACTGACTTTTCTTTTCCTACCTCGAAGGGCTACTAAATCGGTTAAAAGAGCGATGCTTCTCGGAATGGAAATTTTCCTCTTCTTTGTTTATCTATATTGGGTGCTGGCATTTCTGTCCGCGGCTATTTTGTTTGGATTCCAACCTGAAAAACTCGGGCAGTAGTGAATGGTTTATGTTGTGCATAAATCTACCAGTGTTTTGGAACGCCTTCGATCTACGTATATGTCCGGAAAAGAGAAATCATTCCTTCCATAATTTCACGATTTAATCATGTATTAACAGGCATTTTATCGAAACCAGAAGTGCTTTACTCTTGGTCTTGTTATTGCATTAAAAAAACAGTTTTGTCCTGTTGTCAGTACAGTACTGTTGTCAATTGGTCGTTATCAGTACAGAGCTGATTGAGTCATTGTATATGCTTGATTTGTTTAAGGTTCCTCGATAGGCCTAGATATTGGACAGATTGCCGGAAGTACTGGAAGCAATGATGATCTTATTTATGTTTAACTGGCTGATGCGACCATAATTACATTAATTTGTTTTCTTTGTTTGATTGTGACAGAGCTAAAGTGTTATCCTCCTTTCGGAGGAATGAAAACATCAGTGTACAAGCTTGCGCACCCATTTCACCGGATCTGATGGGGAAAAGAATGTTATTTTCTTTGTATCATCCTTCAGGCGTTTTACAGATGTTCTGTTCTTCTTTCTCACGAGTTGTCTCTTCCATTTGAAGGAAAATCATGGCGGAAAGATTTTGCCATGATTTCGTTAAAGATTAACACGGACGGTAGGTTTGTAAGTTAAGCATCCTTCTATTTTTCTTGATTACATCCTGTTCATTTCACAGATGTAAAGAGATTCTATATGTAATGGTAAAATTTTGGAAAATGACTGTGCGTGACTTTTTTTATAGTTATTTCCAATGCAAGAAGCATGTGATTTTTAGTGTTTCTTCATTTTAAAGTTTAAAATTTTGACAGCAAGCAATTGATGCATAAATGAAACAAAAAATCCTTTTCTACGACCATTCTCCTCTTGGGACATATATTGTCATCTAGCATTACTATGTGTTCATGTTAGAACAGCAGGCTTTCTTGTAGCTTGTCAAGTTATCAAATCATGGAAATCTGATACTTTCTGAAACTCGTGTCCATGATTCCCGTACATTGGAAAATATTTCAATGTGTAATATCAAAAATAAAGTGATTTTTAGAGAACCAGGGTTTTAATCAAGTGTCATCGACTACTGTCAACTCTAAGCGTATTTTTTATTTAGATGTATGCGTTGTGATAATCTTGAGCAGTTTACATGAGTTAAACATCTCTGGTCTGTAGTATCCACTGTGAGACACCGGTTACGGTATCACAGAGGAACGATTCCTTTTTTATACAGGTTTGCCACCATGTTGCATTTGGACTTCCTGCTCGGTTGACGTACTCTTTGTGTCGGTTGCCAGTTCAGAAATTGAGGGACTTTACTTGACCTATTTGTAACGTTATCTGTGTAATGGTTTATGCTGTTTCGCTCATTGAAGAAGTCGTAAGGACATGCGATATATTATGCTAGACTAAAAAAGGGAACGAGAAAGGTATTGGTCAAAAGACAATGAAAGGACGAACAAAAAGCTTCAGCAGATACAAGTGCATGACATACAGAAAAGGTGGATTGATGGCTGGCGATGTAAGATATTTGTCGCTGATGGTGATAAGTTTTTTCAAACGTTGCAAAATGAGAAACATCGTTGAGGAACCTGAAAAAAATGCAACTAAGCGAGAGATCAGTTGTAAGAATCTGACCAAAAGCCTTGAGTGAAGGCAAAATCGAAAAAGGCATAAGCCGAGAGAGAATTTCAAACCGAAAGATGCCAAGCATTGACTCTGTTAACTAAAAATATATTTAATTGCCAAGAGACGCCGTTAACATCGGTAAACGGTATTCTAGTAGTCGTGCATGATGTGAAACAGAGTGTACTGGCGTAAGAAACCTGGGGGAATCAAATTAATCAGCCATATCTTCAAAGTGTAAGAAATACTGCTGCTAGACCAAAGTTAGAGCAAAGAGAACATCATCACAGGTGACCGCTTTGGCTTCCTGCTTGGCAATTCACGGTCAGCAGCTAGAAGGTGGAACACGAGAAAGAAGACGGTTTCAGTAGAACGTGTGAGATTCACCCAATGATGGATTAAAATTAGCTGCCATGAAATATGACAATGCCCTGTTGGCTAAGGATCGGGAGTTAGCATCGAGTCAGGTATTTGGTGTTCGTTTGTGAGCTGCTTCTTTCACGTACGCTTATGGCTTAAGATTATTTTGATTTCATTTGCAGCAAAGGCTTCTTCCACTACTTTTGGTGAAATTCCTTCAGGTGATTTATTATTTAGCGTTATTTTCTGAGGTTCCATCAATGCGTTCCTCAGGAGTTAGCAATGAGTCCATTTCTGTGTTCATTTATTACGGATAACTTGCAAGAAACAGCTTATCACCGCGTGGTCCCTTCAGAAGATGTAGCGTGTAGCGAATGTGCAAAATGCGTGGAAGCGAAAACCGAAGCATGAAGAACATCTGCTAAAAAATGTGTGTCGTCTCTGCTTTAATGGTACGGAAGTCATGGCGGACTATTTAAGTACTACGAGCATGGACAGTAAAATAATTTATTGCCTTCTCCATCAGATAATAGATTCTTAAGCGTTCAAGAACGAAG